GTTAGTTAGTTAGTTAGTTAGTTATTAGTTAGTTGTTTGTTTGTTTGTTTGTTTGTTAGTGTCTATGTATAGTATATATAATATATATATATATATATTATAGTATATATAGTATATATATATACTATGTATATATGTATATATATATATATATATATATATATGTGTGTGTGTATGTATGTATGTGTGCCATAGTGAGTTGACCCCACAGTGACTACATGTTGCATAAACTAAAAATTCAGGGGCGGGGAGTTGATTCGTCACACTTGCTGGCTCCACATACCGTCACAGACCGTCACATATACGCTACCAAGCTATCGTTCTATCGTGTTACAATGTTATCATGTGATTGTACACACAAAACTACGGCCAATTGTCTGCCTGCACCTTGTTTGGCTCTGATTTTGTGTCTTCTGGTCTCCTGAGCCTGTTATTACAACTATCTGAATACTCTCTTTATCTCAACGACTGTCGCAGATTCATCGAGCACCTCTCTTCCCAGTCGATGCTGTATGTGCCGGTCTAACACCGACTTGGACTTAGAGATGACCACTCGAGAGAGGCAGTGGTATGAAGACTACACGCCCGTTATCGATCCATTGCGGGAAATGCGTGTGCGCGTTTGTAAGAAGTGCATACTTGCCCAGGTATGCGTCTGTTTCTATGTGGCGTGCATATGACTTTGCTTCGATAATGTGTCTCTAGGTAAATGCAGTTTCTTGGCTTTCTCCAATAGTTCGCCTTTATGTGTATCTAATATATATATGTATAGATTTGGTCTTAAATAATGTTGTGTTAAATTTTTTTATGCGGTTTTATCTTCTATGTAAATCATACGCATAGCGAGAATATATTTTGTACCGGAAAATGCTAATGCATATTCTGATATATATATATATATATATGTGTGTGTGTGTGTGTATGTATGTGTGTGTGTGTGTGTGTATGTATATATGTATGTAGTGTGTATGTATGTCTGTATGTATGCATGTGTATATATATATATATATAGTATGCTTTATATATTTACCATATGCTGATCACGCCCGTGTCCACATCTTCTCAGCGATCGAGTGCCGTGGATCTTCTCAGCACGCAATACAAGCTGTATCTTCAAAAGTCTCTGTTGGTCTCAGACTCCCGGCTGCAATTGCCCGTTATAAAGGCCCCTCAGGCCGCTGATATGGTACACGAAATAGTTCACGCCTTGGAATCGGTAGGTGTTAAATTAAGTCTGGTAAAAATCTGCATATTTCTGATGGAGTTGATATATGTATTTTGTTTGTGTGTGATCTGCACTATCTGCAGTAGACACACGTTCTCAGTGTGGCTGAGTGTTGTGAACAGTGTACTCTGACTTGTTAGTGTGCCTGTAGAGGTATTATGCGCGCTTTATGGCACATTCATTGCAGTTTACACGGATGTTGTTTATATATAGTGCATTACTCGCTGGATGCATGTCCTGAATTTTCTACTTTCATATATATATATATATATGTATATACCACTCATATATATATATATATATACCACTCACACCTTCTCTCTTTCTCGCGCTCTTCTTTCCCACAGAGAACGCAGGAAGCTGACATGTACGCACACACCAGCCACGGCGACAAGGACAGTGTCATCGATGACCAGCACGAGAGCGTAGGCGAGAGTACCGAGCAATGGATGTTGGTGTGGACACTGGTGGACGCCTTGTGGCTTCTTCTCCATCCCTTGGATACGGTTGCTACGGTACCTCAATCGGGTAGTAGTCAGAGTAGCGATACCTCGAGTGAGGAGACGAAGTATGCACACATGCGACGGCTATCATGGAACCAGCGAGTGCAGCTGACGCGATGGCTCAAGCGCGCAGTGAAGAAAGAGGTCCGCCGCAGTGTAGATTCTGCCAGGGCTGCTGATGATCGCATGAGTGAGGTATGGGTGTTTGTATTTTATGGTACTGTATAGTTGTGTACTGTTTGTTTGTATTTTTTTTTAGCTCATTGTTGTGGTATTGTATTGGACCGATATGAGTGAGGTATTGTTTGTATTTTTTAGTACTGTATGGTTATGTGTCGTTTGTGTATATTGGATAGCTCAATGTTGTGTTATTGTATTGGACTGGTATGAGTGAGGTATGGATTTTTGTATTTTATGGTACTGTATAGTTGTGTACTGTTTGTTTGTATTTTTTAGCTCATTGTTATGGTATTGTATTGGACTGGTATGAATGAGGTATTGTTTGTATTTTATAGTACTGTATGGTTATGTGCCTTTTGTGTATATTGGATAGCTCAATGTTGTGGTATTGGATTGGACTGGTATGAGTGAGGTATGGGTGTTTGTATTTCATGGTATTGTATGGTTGTGTATTGGATAGCTCATTGTTTTGGTGTTGTATTCGACTTATATGTATATAAGTCGTTGTTTTGGTGTTTTAATTCACTGTCAGTATGTATAGATTGTTCTGTTACTGTATTGTACCGTCTTTAGGTATAGCCCACTGTTTTGGTAGTGTATTGGACTGGTAGTTTGTATGGCCCATTGTTCTGGCATGTATTATGCTGTCTTTATGGATAACCTGAACAAGGTATTGTACTGTTTTAGAGTTGTTCTGTGCGATAGCTAATTACTCAGCAGAAAATAAGTATCGCACTGTTGCCCTGTGCCAGAGTTGCTGACATTTTCTTGAGTGAGGTACAAACGTGTAGAGTCGTGTCTATCGGCGGTGTGTTGCATAGTATACCATTGTGTTGTGTTGTGTTGTGTTGTGTTGTGTTGTGTTGTGTTGTGTTGTGTTGTGTTGTGTTGTGTTGTGTTGTGTTGTGTTGTGTTGTGTTGTGTTGTGTTGTGTTGTGTTGTGTTGTGTTGTGTTGTGTTGTGTTGTGTTGTGTTGTGTTGTGTTGTGTTGTGTTGTGTTGTGTTGTGTTGTGTTGTGTTGTGTTGTGTTGTGTTGTGTTGTGTTGTGTTGTGTACTGTACTGTACTGTACTGTACTGTACTGTACTGTACTGTACTGTAGTGTAGTGTAGTGTAGTGTAGTGTAGTGTAGTATTGTATAGTATAGTATTAGTCCTAATAATTATTAGTGTTCACATACTACTTATTCACATCCTCATACAATCCATTAACCGTACGCAGGTATTTGCCTTACTGACCGGGTGTGAGATAAGCGAGGCCACCGCTGTCGCACGCGCCAACCGAGACTACCGCTTAGCCACACTGGTGGCACAGGCGATGGGCTCAGTCAAAGCAGCTACACACGTACAGTGCCAACTGCAGACATGGGTGGACCACAGTTATGTGAGCCACCTGGGCACGCAGGGACAGGGACAGGCGCGTGCCAAGCAGATGATCACGGCCCAAAGATGGAAGGTGATGCAGCTGCTGGCGAGGTGTGTGCTGTGGTCTGGACTGCATTGTGTATTTTTCTGTATATATATATATATATTGTGCGTGTGCGTGGAAAGATGGGTATGCCCTGCGTGTAATATCGCATTTCAACCTGTTATGTGCATAACCAAACTTCTATATATTCCTGACTGAATCATTGACACTTTATCACAGAGACACGAGTCCCACGAGTGAGGTGGATGGATCACGCTACTTTGACGCATACAATGTATGCGATCGCCTGAGTTGGAAGCGAGCGTTCGCAGTGCAGTACTGGTATGCGTGCCCACCCAACGGTGACCTCAGAGACGCACTCCACAGCTACGACCAACGGTGCGCTGAGGATACGACACGCACACTCTCCCCATTGGCGCCGCATCTGGCCAACTCAGGACACCAGTATGTTGCTCTGTTGAATGAGTGTATACCTGTATAGTGCTACATTGTATGAGAGTATTTTAGTATGTTACTTCTTTGTATTATATGAGTATTTGAGTATGTTGTTTTATTCTGTAGAGTATACTAGCGTGTTGTTTTCCTGTAAGGTGCTCAATCTTGTGCTATGTTGTTGCAGTGTACGAATGAACCCATTCTTCAGCGCATGCTGATTCGTTGTACTAGAGTAGCCATCCTTCAGGATCGTACATAGTTCAAATAGTAAATACACTTTAGTATATGATATCGATTTGAATGTCTTGTATATGCTTGTTGCTGTGCTGTGATATCTATTGATGGTGTATCCCCTGAACTGCTCGTAGTATGTTATGTCTGTCCCAGTACCTGAGTGTCCGAACGCCTCTACCTGTGTCTTTCTGACTAGCACTGGCGTTCATACTTAGTATGCCTACTATTCACGTATAGGTATATACATGTGTATGTGTATGTGTTCGTAAATTTGTTTATTCTGTTAATTTCAGAAAGTTGGTCAAGTAGATGTTTCTACCACTTAATATATAGACCGAGCAGATCGCCGAAGTGATAGTACGTTATAATTAATATATATATATATATATATATATATATGTGTGTGTGTGTGTGTGTATATATATTATATATTATATATAATATATATATATATGTGTGTGTGTTGTTGTGTGTGT